TGCTCTTATCTTCTACAGCAAGGAATCAATGCTGGGGCTTGGGAAGCAGCAGGATCCAGAAGGTAAGAAGGGAAAAAGGATACTAGCTCTGAATCTAAATATTAACCACCTTTCCTATGTGACAAAATGAGACTTGTGCCATTCTGGTTAAACTTTCTATTTAAGTCCAACTGACTTGGAGTTTGGAGCTAGATCCAAATCCAAACTCACTGTAGAGTTATTGCAAAAGCATGAGGGTTCTGGTCTGGGACTCTCTGAGAGCTCATTAGCCTCTAAATCTCCACAACAAGATCTTTAGCACCACTTTGGAAAACCTCCATAAAGATGATGCAGCAGGCATCCGTATGTGATGGATAAAAGCTACTCAAAGGGTCATAATAGTAGTCAAGCCTCCCTACCGAGGACTCAAAATTCAGGCATCCCTTAGAGCTAGCACTGTTGGAAAGCACAGTTCAGCTAGTCTTCCCAAATTTTACACTCACGCTAGGACTGGCTTCTACTTAATCATCACCTTTAAAACAGCATCCACGCACTCTTACTCCTTTTCTCCTGAATAACGCAGGAGGCCTGCACCGTGCCACGCAGCTGGCTGGCACGGTGAGCTATTGCCCTCTGTCCCTTGCAGAATCACATCCAGACACACAAACAAGGGTCTCTGTTAGCCCCCACCCTCCCCTTTCAAGAACAGGCCATGTTTTACTTTCAGTTCTCACCTCTTCAGCTGCCCCAAGCAATGGAAAAAACCTTCCCCTCTCCCCGAAGCTGCAGAGGTAGCAATCTTCGCTGTGCCTCCACTTGCAGGAACAGGCACAGTACGTTAGTGGCAACTTTTGTACCAAGGGGAAAGGGACACAGGCTAGGAAGATGCCGCATAAGCAAGCCCTGGGTACACTGATAAAGTACGGCATTTTCCCTGACCTCTCACACATACCCCAAGGATGTCATTTTGGCACGTTTTCAAAGCCTGGCCTCTTTTCTGATCTTTACACAAGTTCCTGAGAACCCAAGCAGCCGACAGAATTTCTTAAGACTTATCTGTATCTTAAGCTGTTCCTTAATTTCCTTGCAAGCTCTCTATTGTGAGTGGTGATCTCTTATTTGGGAAACCCTTACTAGCCTACACAAAGGACAAAGCAGCCCTGCAGCCCTGGAACTAGCCAAATAAGGTACTGCCCAGCGTAAGGGACTAAGTAAGCTTCAGCCAAGATACAGGACAAACTCAGGTATCTTAAAATTAATTGCTCTTCCCATTTCCTCCATTTTGATATGATCTCTAATGTAAATAATTTTTATTTACATTTAGCTTTTAATGTAAATAATTTTTATATGACCTCTTGTTAACTGCCACTCAATTCTCTCCCCTCATTTCCCTGTAGCTTATTGCTTTCTATTCTTGTACTTTCCATGCTTCCCCCTCTAACAGTTTGACTCCTCCTTAGACTCAGCACAAGTCTAAGGACTGATTTCTCCTCTAGTTCAGTAGCTTAACTTTTAATTAAAACATAGTCTGCATCCTAAACCTGATGGGTGCCTCCGTGTCAGAACAAAGAATAAGTCCTCAGATAAAGCAGAAGGCAAGCTCATGAACTTGGACTTAATCTAGATGAAAGCTCAAGGTAATTCATACATAACCTTGCCTCGTTATAGTGATTCTGGAGGTTGTTGTGTGCACACATCTCACCCGAGTCTGTCTCCATCCCAACCTTACTCACCCTCTTAATTACTTTAAGATAAACTGCTACTGTGAGCAGTTACTTGAACACTCGGAAACTAAGCTCTGCCTATCTTTGTACTTACACAGTTGTGGTGCCTTCAGTATCTGAGCAACTCAGACTTAATCCACCCCCTCTACTTTCTTGGGGAGTAAAAAAAGAAATTCTTATTTCTTAAATAGCTCAAACTCACCCAGGCAACCAGAGAGCAAGGAACTAAGCCCTAAGTGCATAAACCTGACTCTTCCTAGCCCACCCCACTAACTTCTCCTTTCCGTGGCTCTAAAAATATCTGTAAAGCACATAGCTACCCCAAGACAAAATCAGATCTGTATAGACTCCCTCTCAGCATAAGCCAGGCATGACAGACACATGACAACTTACACGACTCTGCGGAAGGAAAGCTTCTTCCTCAGAGAAGACACGCGCAGATGGCAGACCTGCCTCACTGCTGTGCCGCAGGACACCTTTTCAGGGTACGGGTTCTGCACCATGGCAGTACTTCACAAGGCACAAGCCAACAGCAGTGCTCACACCTCAAAAAAAAGAATTGCTACGGAGCACCAAATGCATGTGCCGGCAGCAGGACAAAATTCTCAGTCTTCTCTGGAAAGACCCGAGGGTTGGAGTACAGTCCTTGGAAGTCTGTCACGGAGAAATTAACTCCACTCGCAGCACCCTCTGGTACCATCTTTTACAGGAAGAGCAGGCATGCAGTTAAGATCTTGGCTATGCTTAGTCCAGATTTCAGCCTTCTTCAGCTATGTATTCCTCTGGTTTTTTTTTTATCCCAGAGTCAACCTAGCAACGCAGCATCCCTTTACTTTTGGCTGGGGTAGCTTCTTTCAGCACTTTCCCAGATGCTCTGAGAATGGTGCAGATCCTCGCTTGCTCTCTGCTCTAATCCTTCAAGAGCAGCACAGGCTCCTTCTGCCCGTGATATCAGAGGCAGCATGCCAAGAGCAGGTGCACCTTTCGGTACATACCACATGGTTTCTTGCTCTGCCCTCTTCTGCCCTGCTCTGCTCAGCTTTTCTCACAACTTACAGGGACTGCTGAAACCCTGGGTGGTTGTGGTTTTGTTTGGCTTGTGGGGGGGTTAAGAGCTGCTGTACAACAGTCAGTTGAAGTGAAAAGAGCTGCCTGTAGCTCTAACGGAAGCAGAGCTCCAAACCTGCAGGTGGAGGACTCTTGTTAGTGGTCGAAAATGCCATCACAAGAGCAGTAAAACTGATCCTCCTCATTCAGTTTTCAAGAGTCGAGCGGATTCAAGACAGCTCGGAGACAGCCTTCAGCTTCATTAACAGGAATAGTAAATAGCAAGCTCTCAGAGGTTTCGTTAGCCTTGACACTAATTCATGTCCAGCTTCACACCTTACGTGAGACTCAATATGTGTTTGAGTTATTTTTTGGTTAAGTTTCATGAGCACAATTGTGCCGCCAGTCATCTAAAGGAAGACTATACCAGTGGAACTTGATGCAATTACCTTAGCAAAGGTGAAAGAAAAAACAGTGGCAAAGGCAATTTCCTAGCACTTGTGTGGCTCGTTTTAGGATCAGGATCCCCCATAAAACGGAAATGACTTGTAATTAAATCTAGGCAGCAGGAATGTTGGAGGTCTCCCATAAGAGAGGTCAGCAGGCTCAACACCACCCTGGCTTTGCATAAATAGGTCTGAGATCGGATTGTGTTGCACCTAAAACATGTCCCTTCCAGCCAGAAAGATACTCTAGCACCAGCACAAAGGTTCCAGTTTAGTCTGTATCCGAAACAGGCAGCACTTGCAAACGATCCCCACTTCTTGCTCTGCTCAAATCCTCCATCTGAGTATTAACGAAGCCTATCCCCGTTTAACCTACAAAATCCCAGATCAGGTGGTGTAACAGCATGCATTGCACAGAGGAAGCCCAGGTATGACCTAAGCACCCATCTATCTTGCCATCAGATTCTTTATTTCCTTGTTGCAAACACCATTCCCCACTAGTCAATGGCACTAGGCTCCGCAGCACCAGAGACACTCATAATTGGAGGGAAACGGATGGAGGAAAAGGTTAGCTGCTACAACTACCAACTGCTATTTCTGAGCCAAACTCTCCTGGGATGTTAGGTAGCTCCTCCAGGGTCAGGATGTTCTCTCAAGTGAGTCAATTCCTCAGATGCCTACTCAGCTGCTACTCAGTTCTTACTCAGTCCATTAGCCTTCAACATCATAGCAGGGAATCTGATTTCAGTAGGCATTTGCCCTACTACACAGTTAGTAAGAAAGCCCTTTGACCTCAGAGACAGCTTATGTAAAACAACAGAGTGAAACAATGCCCTGAGGGACCACGCCCTGATACAAACATGCCGAGTAGAAGACACCACATTGAGATGCTTCTTGTAATCCTCAACACAGGAGCGCAGAGGAAGCAGTTCCCAAATTCAGCATACGCCCTCCTGTGGGCTCACTACTACCCCTAGTCACAGGATCAGGTAGTAAGATGCAACGTAACTCCACTGTGCAATGCAACAACAAAGTAAAGGGAATTTCAGAAACCAAAGCCCAGATGTAGCACAAGGATGTTAGTAGGGAAACAAACCCGCTGAAGTCGGCCTGGGATAGAAAGGTGGTAGTAGCGCAGTAGTTCACGCACAGCAGAAAATGAAGCAGATTCAGACTCAAGAGATGAACTACAAGATCCAGCAAAACTCTTAATCACATGGCTCTGAGCAATGCAACAATAATAAATCACGGACAAAAATAAGCATTCATTTTTCAACAGCTTTTGTGCCAATGCTGCAATTTGAATCCGTTATTAATCAACCCCAAGTACAAGAAACTTAAGTCGCTTCTGGAACTTCACACAGCAGTTCTCACTCTGCTGCTACACGAGACCTAGATACCTCGGGACTGTCACAGCACATCAGAAGTGAAATACAAAAGCCAAGCACAATATTGTCTTTGCTGAGGGCAAGAACCACATAGAAAGTCTCATTCGTGCGTTTTTAAGCATCAGAGCTGCTAATCATCAGTAGACAGCAAGCCTGATGATGCTGTCTATGCCAGCTACAGTTCTGGGGAACGTCTCAAAAGAAAACGCAGGTTACTTCAGAAGTTGGATTCATTTGTCCCACAGGGTCTACTTTTAAGGAGATGAAAAGCACATCCTTTTAGACATTGATAAGACCAAGGTAAATCACGTTTAACAACTCCGAGAAAAACAGAAAAATAAGGACCCCAACCAGGCCAGCCAATGTAAGGTCACTGAGTGATTCTAGGCACTCCTCCAGGTCAGCTGCAGACTTACCTGTCCTCACGCACACGAGGGCTCAGGAATCGGGAGGAGTCATCATCATGACTGCTCTGCTGGCTGCTCTGCTGGCTGCTGGAACACCGGACAAGAAAACAGAAGTAATTAGAGAGATTTGCATAAGCCCCTATGAAAGACCCTGGTTTAAAGACAGAACAACGTGAGGTTCACACTTCGTATTTGGGGGTGCAAAGGAAAAACAGAAGGAAGTTAACACCCGATTCACAGCAGGCATGACAGGTTTGAAGCCTCTTAACCTTAGTGACACTTTCCTAAGAACTTTGCAACATACCGAAGTGACCTGGCACATTGCCTAAACAGCAGTTCAACCGAACTCTTAAACTAACGATGAAGTGGCCAACACTACATTTCTGGTGGAGAGTTGCACGCTGAGCCCACAAGATGTCACTCTCCCCCTTTAAATGAGTGTTTGGGGGGGCGATTCCCCCTCTTCCCCGTCCCCCGTCCATCCATCGTATGGAGTTTGCCTTTACTACCTTCTAGCAGCCTCCACCTGCTCCAGGGACTCATCAGGGTTCCTGCTTCTCATTTCTACAGCTTCATTTCTTTGCGAAACCTAGTAGATCGATGTAATTCTGCCTTCAGGTAAGACTGCTGCCGGAGGAGCGGATGATGCTAGGCTAGCTTTAATCTGCTCCGACCGGGTACCACTGCCTGGGGAGTCATGGCAACGCCGGCTTTAGCACGACGGCTCGGTCTCACACCTGGGACACCGGCAGTGCTAAAAAATCCCGTGGCTTCACTGTTGGTAGGATAAAGCGTTCAAATAAAACCAGTTCAGGTGTACACACACATGCTTGCAGTCGCAGCTTCTACTGCACTGCACACAGATTGGCACGTCACATCGCCCAAGGCACAGAAATAAGAATACAGGATCAAAAAAGACCAATTGCACACTTCGATTCCAAAGAGGAATACTACTCAGCCAGTAACATCTGTTTTGGGGGGAAAAACCACAGTAGCCAAACGTTGCAACAGGATTCTTTCATGCAGTCTACCAGGTTTTGGTTTGTTTTTTTGTTTTTTTTGTTTTTTACCTGGCCTGGACCTTTTTAGCCACTATAGGAAAACAGTTGCTTCTGCTGTTCAAAAAGCATTCTGTAACTTCTCTTTCCATTTCAGCAATACTCTCTCCCTCTTGAATTTCTCAACCGAACACGAACAGAAATATTTTTTCTCCTCTCTAGATGTACTCTGTTTGCATAAAGAAATTATAGCTATTCTTACCTATACATACAGCTTTACAACTCAAGAAAGGTAACTAGTCTATTGACTTGAAGAACTTAAGTCCCATGCAAAGAAAAGTATTACTCTACAGTCTATTAGCAGAGGAAGTACTTGAAAAAGTTTATGAATTTATCTATAATCTTGTCTTCCTGCTTTCAAGGAGTAAGAAAATCCTTCAACATAACCATTCTTCTTTTTGTTCTTAAAAATAAATAATAATAATGGGGGGAGGGAGTACTTTCTCTTCCCCCTTGAGATAAGTGTTCTTGCCAAAGAGGTTTGAAGTTTCCTCTGCAAACAAAAAAGCCAATGAGTCTTTCATCTACTACTTTCATCAACCACCTTGATTTTGACCAGCTGCTTCTGTGAGATCAAGACTCCATCTTACTGAACATGACCTTTTTGGAAAAACAAAAGCTGTCTGGGGGACCCGCTTAGCATTTGAGAGTCATCACACACCTGGCACCATCCACTCTTTTTGCTCTGTTCAGAACACGAGGCAGAAAACTGTTCCTTACTGTTAACATCAAGGAGAGAGGCTGAAGCTTTCCGAAGAAAGCAGTTAGTGATCGGTATTAATGAAAACCTCCAACAAATATAGAACTTATCCTTTGAGGTTGGACATACCAACCCACAAGACTCATGCAATATTCATGAATTTCAGCTACAGATTTAATTTATGCACACTGGATGGAAGTCACAGGCATGCATCTTGTGTGGGCATATCCACACAATCCCAGAGCACACTTTGCTTGTTTCCCCCTTGCACAGTATATAGTTTTGCCATCAGAGCCCAAGACAGGTAAACATTTTTGCACAAGCCTCTCAGCAAGGGGACAGATTTAATTTTCTGCTCCCCACACCCACATACTTAGTCATTCATAAGCATCTCGATGTAGAGAGTACAATCAGAGAGTAAGAATTCTACATTAGCTTCAAGCTCCAAATCAACAGCTGGATAGGAACAATATACCCCCAAAAAAACAAAGAAACATCCGTCCTCTGAGTTTAATTATGGCCCAGTGAACTGGTTTGGAAAGAGCGCAAAAGGAACCACCCTTTCCCTCCTAATTCAAAGGAATGATCATCCTTTTGATATGAGAAAGCATGGCAGGGACTATTTCTACAACCACTTGTTTCTTCATAAAACACCCCCCCAAAAAAACTTTGCCATTTCTTTCAGATCAAGCAGATAGAACTGAACTTACCAAAGGAGAATTCACAATGTATCACAGCCCAACAATAACCCCTGCAATTCTGGTAATCCCATGTAAAAATTTACTTTCGGACAGCTACAGAAGATGAACCTTAGACCTTCCCGTGCTAACCCACCCATCATTAAATTTCTCGCTCAGAAAGTCCTTCAAATCAAGGTTTAAAGTTTAATGGAATCCAGATATTGCAACACACTGCAACACAGCACCTTACCGCCTTGTCACTAGGGAACGCGGAGTTACAAGCAATGAAATAAACTCAGAGCAAGAGACAGAAATTAGTTTTTATCCAGTGTCTTTCTGGCGGTATTCAACAGGAGCTGTATTTCACTAAACCAGGGGTTTTGCCTAGGGGCTTGTCTTTGTGAAAAGCTCAAGCTTTTGCAAATAATTTCAACATTCTGAGCATAAAGAATTTAACAGCTGCACTGTCTAAACAGAGCATTTGAAGTGCAGAGCCTACTGGTTTATTATGCTTTTGAGTCCATTTTAAGTTGATCTCCTTTTAATATGACAGTGTTCCTTTGAGATGGTGGAACAACAAGCTACTGTGGTGGTACTGGAGAGATCATGAGGAGATAAGAAAGGTAGGATTTGTACTGAAGAGTAATCTGGGGGGAAGCTTTTAGATTGTCAGGTCAGTTTTGTATCTACAGAGAAGGCCAAAAGCTGGGAAAAAAAAAGCTCAGGAAATCATCAAAACAAGCTGATCTCATCCCAAAAGCTCAGCAATGATAAACCTGAATTTGGACAAAGCTTAAAACTTGGGGTACACAGACCCAATGTGCCCCTTTCTTTTATTTCCAAGAATCTAAAAATTACTTTAAGACTTACACCCTGCGTTTTTTCCTCAATTCTCATGCAAACATTCAGACTCATAACATTACTCAGTACTTTAGGAACTGAAGAAGAGGTTAAATACAGATTAACCATGCCTTTTAACGATTAAATCTTTGAAGAGCCTTCTTCCACTGCTCCTCCACGTCACTGCTCCCAAGCAATTTACCCAGGCACCCCAAGTACAAAAGGAACATTTTTCTGACTGAAAACTAGGTTTTCTGATCACGCACACCTCAGTTTGTATCTGGAAACTTCAAAAAGAAATAAAAAATCAATTCTGCACTATTCGCAAGACTTCAGTATACTGAAGAAAAAATAAAGAGTAAATTTTGCAGTGGAAGAAGCTCTACATTGTTTGAGCAACAGTATGTCTTGGTAGGTGTATGAAGAAAAACAGATCCTCAAACGTCTTCAAAATCAAATTTGTATTCAATGTTCTATTTCTGACTTTCTTAACAATATCAGCTCAGTTGCCAGTTCGTCTTCCCAACGCATCAGAACACCCAACCACCGTTCTATAGAAGAAATACGTTCCTGAGAATCGTGTTGTTACCTTTCTTTACTACTATCTGTAATTTAAGTCTTAATTTTTATTGAATTTGTGACCTATGTACACACATATACTTAGATGAACATGCAAGGCGCTTACACAGAATAATCATCTTTTCCAAATCTTGCCAGAAGTGAATGTAAGCAGACTGCGGGTACTAAAAAGTGCAAAATTTGCTTTTTTTTGTCTTAAATATTTAAAGATTCCTCTCACACTCGGTCTTGGAAAGTTATGAGCTATAAAGTAGATTTTGTATTACTCCTACCCTTCTACTTTTTTTAATGTCTCATTTTATTCTGAGATTTCAGTCTCTGATTTATAAGGCAGGGCTAAGATCACTTATTTTATGCATGAATAGGCTGTTGAAGCTAAGCAAGTCTTCTAATAGAGAGGGCATTTGTCCAGATTTCACAAAGTTCAGACACTCAGGTCAGTATTTTCACAGCAGGAGTCTTCCAGGATTTCTATCCCCTCAAGATGTGGGTGATAAACCCACCACACTTTTATACGTGCAGGTGTGTTTGGCAGATTTTTATTCAGAGGAATTCTTTTCAACAGCACTGGATGAATGGAGCAAGCAACAAAATGGGAAAGAAATGTCTGGAAGACAGAATCAGTTAATTATTCATAAAATTCCGTGGCCTTCAGAAGGGTATTGTTATCCACAGCTATTAGTAAAATTTTCAAGTCTGAACTGAGGTGAATATTTTGTATTAATTTTAATTAACCCTCATATTCAGAAGGGTTTGGGTTCATTATTAAGCTTTACTTAAAAAAATAATAGACAACTGACAGTCAGGTATACGTATATTCTACAATTGCTTCCAGCAACTGTGGCAAGAGTTTTTGGAACTAAAAGCTACTGTTTATGAACGCTCACAAGACACGCGTATTTTGATCAACGCAGATTTGGAAACTAACTAAAAGATATGCAGATTATAACCAGTGCAACAATTAAATTGCATCAAGGTTTCTGTTAAACTTGACAAAGCTTTCTGGCTGTTTGAACAACTGCAGGGTTCTTTTCATCCTCGCAGCTACAAGCACAAAGACTTCAATCTACCTGCCTTAAAATAGATCACAAACATCACCAGGATGTCTGAAGAACTGCCACCAGAAAAAGACAAGGAACGCCAATATCCGGAGTTATGGTTACTTCCAAGCTGGCAAAGGAACTGAACACATCATGCTTTTGAAATGGTATTTTTATAATTGTTGTTGTA